TAGACTATTATTTGTCTTCAGAGTTAACAATTATAATGAAGTTTAAAAAATTGGGCAAAGTAATTTATATGTCAGGATAGGAGTGGTAGAATGGTTTGAGATAAAGAAATATTAGCCAACTTGCCAAAATTTTGACCACATTTGGCATTTATTGAGTGCATACTGTGTTCCAAGTCTTGTATTAGGTACTGAAATGACTAGTGAGAAGAGTGAAAAGGATTGTTGCCAGAATATATTATGGTGTTGCTTTATTTTTGAACTCTTTAGTTTAATGCAGCACTGACCTTTTGAGTCTTCTAAGGTATTAAATCAGTTTTTTATTATATGTGAATTAAGTAATTGCTTTCTTAAATTTGATTTTGATTATGTGTAGAGACATATCTATTTAACAACTTAAATATGATCAAGCAATGGTAGGAATGTCATTGTTTCTGGGAACATTTTGTTGGTCACAGAATAATTTTCAGTGTGAAAAACTGAAGAAACTTAGGTTGTTTCTTAAACCCATTTTGTCATCTGCCTTTTGATGATTTTCTTGATTTTATCACTGGAGCATTTATCAAATCTAGTTTTTTGGGTCATACTTTGCTTAATGGTGTACAAAAATAACTACACAGATGTGTTATAATTTATCTTTTTAGTCAGGCAACTTTGAAAATGTACAAAACATAATAGACCATTAGTCACACTCAACTTACTGTTTTGCAAAAAAATGAGGTATCAGTTTACAATGTAGTACTTTTTCACATTCATTCAGTAGAAGATGATTATCAGACAAGGGAGGTGAAGTAGAAAGTTTAACCAATAAGGGTGCATCCTTTAGGCAGCTTCAGAGACACTGTAGAGATGGGCATGAGATAAATGGCAGTCTGTAAGGGTGGTAGTGAAATGAGCTGAAGTACCTTTAAAGTCTTGCATTTGATGGAAAGCCACTGCAGTACTTTAATTGATGAAAGTAATACAGTTAAAGTACAAGACGTTCAGAACAGGTTTACTCAGGGCAGTGTTGGTGGCTGGAAGGTTGTTGAAGAGCGGGTTGCAGTAATCTGATGAGAGGTGGTGAGTGGTTAAGGAAGTGGCAGTAGAACTACAGAGAGCATACAGAAAGAAGTGTCCTGGGAGGCAGTTTAGCTTAAGGCATTTGGGAAAGAAAACTGTGCCAAGTATCGTACATTGATTCAATGTGTAGTCCTGTTTGGGGCCAATTCGATGCTATCTAGGGACTGGAATTAAATGAAAACATGCATAGTCCATGCCACCTCCAAGTTTGTGACCCTCCCTTTTTTTTTTTTTTTTTTAATATAAATAGAACTTTGGAGTAGGAGTATAGGGAAATTTAACTGCTGTTCAAAAATGTATCACCCATTTTTTCTCTTTTGGCAAAATTGCCTCACTCCTTTCTTTAGAGCTATTTTGCTCATCACTGAGCCTCTCAAATCATTTAACATCATTTTATAAACCAAAAATCCATTGAGATAATTGATTGAAAAAGATAAAATTGCTCTTTTTTACAAGCTCTTTTTGTTTGTTTTATTCTTTATAAAAATGCTTCCTGTTACAATTCTTTAGCTTTACTGAAGAACAAGTAGGATGTGATAGCTTCCACTCCTGTCCTCCTCCTCCTCCACTGTAACCTTGGGCCTTAGTGGAGTATTATTGTTTTGTTAGCTTGCCTCTACAATAATTTTCCTAAGCTTTCTGAAAAGCTTCAATGCTAAACAACAATGTAGAGCATTCTTTCTTGCAATAGACGCTAATTGTGTTCTTAGTTGGGATCTTGCTGTCATAGCCACAATAACTGTGTCAATTGTGCGGGGAGGCTGGGTCACAGTGGTTATTGTGCAGAGTGATGAATGCTGCTTACTTGTGATGTGCTGCCGCCCGCATCTGTGGGTGAGAACACGCAGTTACTGTAATTTGCTGGGCAAGTGATCAAACTGGTATAAAATAACATCATCTGTTAAGCAAGATAGCAGTCACAAAGAACTATTGACCTTTTGAAATATAGAATTTTTAATGAGAAACTTTGAATAATAGAGATTGAACATGTGAGAACAGCTACCTAGTGTGTGTTGCGTTATTAACCCCTAGTTTGTAGTGTATTCCGGAGTCAAGTTGACCTACATAGAAGAGAAGGAACTGGGAGTGCATGTCTGTGTTCTGGCTCCGATTGGGAAGAGCTGCTTAACCACTGTAAGTTACAGGTTGGATAAGTGACATATATGGTGTCAATTGGGAACCAGGCTTCACAGTTTCACAAAATGTGTGGATTCTGAAAGTGTTGTCATTGCGAATGTAGTTTCCTTGCCTAGTTCTTCCATATAGTTAAGGAAAAGATATTTTTAATGTAATTGTTAGAATATGTTGGTACATACTGATTCTGAAGTAAAAGGAAATATATATATATATATATTTTTAAGTAAACTTGATGGTGTTTTGCAAGGATCTGAAGAGTCCCAGTATGGAGCTGAGCTGATTATTTTCTTGACTGTCCACATCCCACAGTTTTTTTTTTTTTCCCCTCTCCATCCCACTGCCCATTTTAAAGCACTTTTCAGCTGTCTGATTGCTCATTAGCATTGCTCATTAAAAGTGGTCTGGGGGCATACATTTCAAAGCAGTCCTTTTAATACTTGGTTTTTCAAGTTTTGTTAAATTTCCAGTGAATACAAACCAAGTTATTTCTTGACGTTTAGCCTTGTTTATATTTTTTATATCATTCCTTCTGCTTAGTACATGTCTAAATGATTACTTTTCAGAAAAGTGAATTTTGCCTAGCACATTGATTTGTATCTCCTGACAGGAGAGTAAACCATGTTTGGTGTGACTTAAGCTTTTATGATTTGGGATTTGTGTGAGTGTGTGTGTGACCCCAAGAACATGGAGATACAAGGGGTGGTAATTTTGGAGGGGAGAAGTACATTAATTAGACAAGTGAGGTAATGTAAGAATGAGATCATCTGCCCATGGCTGATGTGATTCCTTTTTGTTCATTATTTTTAATTTAAAACATAGTATTAAAGTAATAACATGTATATTCCTACCTTGAAAAGCTAGTTATATAAATAATATGTATGTTTAATGCAGATAATTTGCAAGATTTTTTTAAAAGAAAAAATCCAAGCGATCACCAATAGTCTCTGTACCGGCCACCTAAGATAGTCATTGTTAAGTTCTGGTATAGATACTCCTCTGTTACTTTGTACACCGTTTTTCCTTTAAACCTTGTTTTGGTCTCAAGGCCATTCGGAAACACAATAGTCATTCTGAGTCCTCCCATAATCCGATAATGAATTTACATAAAATATTTTTTATCAACGTATTCTGATACTGAGTAGAAAAATATAGAATTACATATAGTTAATATTAACGTTTCCCTTAATTCCTAAAGATTAGAAAGATTATACATTTGAGCTTTTCTTTTGACACTAATCCTTTTTTATATTGCAAAACACTAAATCCTTATATGGAAATAGAAAATTGAAAACATTTCTAACGTAGAAACTCAAAATAAATTTTCATTATTATACGGGCATGTTGGCTTTATTCAAAGTAAGATTGATTTACTTTTTTAAAATGGGTGTATAAATAGGACCCTAATTCACAAATTGTTTATTTTGTATATATTTTGTATTTAGACAAGTGGAGGTCAGTTAAAATAGTCTTATGAAAAGTTGCTTTGTCTCTCTCTTTTTTAAAAATCTCTTCCCTTTCTCCTTCTGACAAGTCAACATCTGCTTGCATATAGCTAACTGCTGCTATTTTCTGCTTCTATGACAGCTAGCCGATGGCGGAGTCTCTTCTCTTCAGCTGCCTCACTGGCTTTTCCTTATAGTCCTGTTGCAAGACTCAGCCCTTATAGCAATGGCATTAATACTCCCAGCTTCTCTAAAACCTCAAATAAAGCAATACTAACACCTGAAAAAACAGGTAATATTTTAACTTCTTGACTAGCTGCTTGCTTTGTAATTCAGTTACTAAACACAGCTTAAATATTCATCTTTCATTGGAAAGCTTCAGAATAATCTTAGAATGGAGAGTTTGTGCTGCACATTTACTTTGGGTACAAAAGGCCTAGCACTAATTTGTACTCTAACACCATTGATCTACTGCTCTCAGTTGTATGTAGCAGACAGTCTTACCTCTTTAGCAAAAGTATATGCCTGCAGTTCTGTATTTCCAAATGCTCATGTGTTTTTAAAATTAAATGTCAAACACAATTTAGGTAGTTTTTATTATTCAAGATTGTAAGTCTTTATTTTTTTAAAGTTTTTTCTGGTAGCTTTTAAGTTTAGCTAAGGCTATGTAGAAGAAAATAGTCATAGTGGCTTTTTATGAATGAGGATCTCACCATTCCTGTAGCCTTCTTCTATTTGTTCTTTGGTTCTTTTATCTGAAACCATCGAGTTTTTTACTCTCATGGGTGGCTATAAGTCTCCTGTGACTACTCTCTGGTCTATATTATGTGGGTGTTGTATATGTTTCTGCATATGTACGTGTGCCTTTTAGGTGTGATATTCTTACCCATTTGTACCACTGCTGTTTGTACTCATTAACAAATGGACCAGATTAAAATTTAATTTAAAATTATATAATCAGTTACTGTCAATGTCTTATTACTAAAGTACACATGAATATATATTCTTATACCATGCCTTTAGATATGGACATATCTAATAGGATATAGATTTTAGCAGTAGTGAATTTTGCATTGTGATAAAAAATATAATGTGAAATCTACCCTCTTAACAATTTAAGTATATAGTACATAGTGACTTTTTAAATTGTGAAAATTGAATTTGAAAACAATGAACAAGTGGTTTTGTATATACGAATTGTATACACATCATGTGCACATTGACCATTAAATGGTGACATGTTGGTGATTTTTGTAGCATGAAAACATGAGACAAATTGCTGACTGTTTATATATGAATTGTAAAGCATATACAGATATCAGTCCTGCAGATGAAAGAACACACATTTCCTTTTTGTTTCAGGTTACACTTCCAGGGGCTCCCCACTCAGTCCCCAGTCATCTATCGACAGTGAGCTGAGTACTTCAGAATTGGAGGATGATTCTATCTCCATGGGATATAAATTACAGGACCTCACTGATGTTCAGATCATGGCTCGTCTGCAAGAAGAAAGTATGTGTTCTTTCTAAACTAGAAAAATGAGGCTTCCACTTGGAATATACAGGCAGAGGGGGAGGTTCAGGCATTTCTCTCCAGGTAATGGGCAAACAATTAGATTCTTTCTCTGATACTGTCCTACTTTTTAGGTGGAACCAGTTATATGCTTCTCACACTATCATGAGGTGGTAGGAACTTAGTCTGATCAAAACACATTGATACATAGACATTGCTGGTATTGCCACTGTGGAAACAGATGGACAGTTTCCTAAAAAACTAAAGGTGCAACTTACAAGTGGCCCAGCAAACTGCACTCTTGGATATTTATCCCAGAATAGTGGAAATTTGGGTTCACACAAAAACTTGTACGTGAATGTTCTGAGCACCTTTATAGCCCAAATCTAGAATTAGCTTAGATGACCTTCAGTCCGCAAATGATTAAACCAATCATGCTACATCTATACCATGGAGTATAGCTCAGCTTGTTGTGTAAAGAGGAACAAACTACTGATATGCACAACATCTTGCTTGAAGCTGCGGGGAATCATGGTGAATAAAAAAAATTGATCATAAGAGAGTGCATACTATATAATTCCACTCATACAACATTTCGAGATGACAAAAATGTTAGGAACGGAGGACAGACTAGTGGTTGGTGGAGTTTTAGGGATAGGGCTTAGGGTCTCAAGAGGGTCTCGAAGCTGGATGTAGTTATAAAAGGGCAACACAGGATTTTTACAGTGTTGGTACTATTCATTGGTGGATCTTTGAACCTGTAGGTAATAAAATTGCATACAACTTAATACTCTATCTCTCTCTGACACACACACGCGCGTGCACACACACACACACACCCCTACCTCTGCAAAAATCTGAATAAAATGAGTGGATTATATCACTGCCAATACCCTGGCTGTCATATTATTCTAAAACTTTGCAAAATGTTACCACTGGGAGAAACTGGGTAAAGGGCACAGTTTTGTTTTTTTTTAAAGCACTTCATGTGAGTCTACAGTTATCTTAAAATTTCAATTAAAATGCATTGACATACTTCTCCAGGTAAATAATTGTGAAAGAGTAGATAAGTAGAAATAGGACAGTTTGTCACTGGTTCTGCGATAAAGTTACAAAAAATAATCTGAGAGTGAACTAGTTGAAGGGCATTAATGGTATCAAAAGGCACAGAACTGGAGTGTTTGTTTTGGAGTTATCTTTTCAGCCAACATAAGTAGAAATAATCAAGTATTTAAGCATAATAATTTCCTGCTTTCAGAATTAGTCAAGGCTTCTATGAGAAACATGGTAATGCTTATGCAGGATTTAATAAGATACATTTTTAAGGGGAAAAGTGGTTATTTTATATCATTATTTAGTAAAAGCAAATTTAAATACTCTTTCTAAAAATATATATGGCTAAAATATTGTATGTCAGTTTCAGAAGTTAAGTAGTCAGGGTTAGACCACTTTAAAAAAAAAAATTATAGTACTGGCAATGGGTTAAATAATGAGAACCTTGTAGTTTGACTATTTTTAGATGATTACCATATAGGATGACCTAAAACTATTAGAAGTTTTGAGGTGTCAGTGTGCTTTGAAAGAGGTAACGTTAGTAACATAAAAGAACAATAGAGAGATGACCTTGTCGGAAAATATTTGTCCCTCGGCTTTTAAACTTTCCCTTTGACTTTAAGAGTTGGGGGTGGGGAGCAGAATGACTTCCTACTTGGGCAGAGACTTGAAGATTTTAATTGTTTTAACTCATAGCAAACTATTCATAATGAGATGAATATTTCTTCCTAAGTTCCCTTTCTAAAATATCTCTTGATTTGAAAAGGGATCATTTGGGGAAATTGATAGATATTAATGAATGAGCTGTGGCAGGTATATATAATCTTCACTGGAATTGGGGCAATCTTTTTGCAAAACAGAATTGTCCAATATTAGATATCTGTTTCACAGGTAAATGTGATTATCATCTTGGTGAACCTAACTTGTCAATTTAGTAAACTTGAGAACAAGATAATAAGTCTCTGTGAGTAATTTGTTTGGCACAATTTTTCATCTAATACTTGGTTAATTATAACTAAATGTTAGCTAGATCAAAAGACATTAGAGTACTATTTGTTATTTTATAGGTCTCAGGCAAGATTATGCTTCTACTTCAGCATCTGTATCAAGACATAGTTCCAGTGTGTCATTGAGTTCAGGAAAAAAAGGGACATGTAGTGATCAAGAATATGACCGATACAGTCTGGAGGATGAAGAGGAATTTGATCATTTGCCACCACCTCAGCCTCGTCTTCCAAGATGTTCCCCTTTCCAAAGAGGAATTCCCCATTCACAGACTTTCTCCAGCATTCGGGATTGTAGGAGGAGTCCCAGTTCCCAGTATTTTCCTTCAAATAATTACCAGCAGCAACAGTATTATTCACCTCAAGCCCAAACTCCAGATCAGCAACCAAATAGGACCAATGGAGGTAGGTTGTATGCTTTTTTGGTATTTGATATGCTTTGATTTTTTTATGTATGGTCAAGAAATGGTTTTTGTGTTTTTGTTTTTGTTTTTGAGACAGAGTCTGGCTCTGTCCCCTAGGTGGGAGTGCAGTGGCACGATCTCAGCTCACTGCAACCTCCACCTCCCAGGTTCAAGCGATTTTCCTACCTCAGCCTCCCAAATAGCCGGGGTACAGGCACATGCCATTATGCCTGGCTAATTTTTTTTTAATTTTTATTTTTAGTAGAGACAGGGTTTCACCATGCTGACCAGGCTGGTCTTGAACCGCTAACCTCTGGTAATCTGCCCGCCTTGGTCTCCCAAAGTGCTGGGATGACAGCTACCATGCCCAGCCAAAAAACAGTTTTAAGAGAAATATAGATAATTGGTCAATGTTTCTCAGATTTAAAATCATCCTCCAGACCTTGTCAGTTTGGTCTAAATTTGCATCTCTAGTTTAGACTGGCTTCTGATTATGTATCCCAGATTTATAAAGTCACAGCTTCAAGAAAACCTCCATGACATAGCTGGCTCAGAATGAGTTATAAATGTGCAGTATCTCTGCATTGTTGCTGGTGCCTGTGACACAGGCAGGGTGGTACAAGCTGAGAAGTTTGTGGTCAAGCCCATAGGGGCAAAGGCTGTGAGTTGTCATTCCTTACCTTGTGCACAACCTTCAGTCTGTTACTGTCTGTTCCTAGCACAGAGTGAGATTGTAAGCATGAATGAGGATGCTTGCAGAGGATGCTGCTCTTCCATAGCCGGATCTAGGGAAGTTTGGGATGTGTCTTTCCCTCTCATCTCCTGACATCTAGAATTAAGATCTGTGTAGCAGCAGGAACATGGAGGCTGCTGTCCATTAGCATGTGGCACGGTAATGGGAAATTGATCTGTCTTGTCAACGTGGTGGGTTGCTGTATGTGTCATTCTTTCATACTTTTTCCATCTCTTCATTTATCTTTCTTCCACACTCCCAGGAGTTAGACTCTAACTTCTAAGAACTATGGGGGAAGCAATCATGTAATATTCTGAGCCTGGTGTGTTTTCGTACTGATGATTACCTGGACCCTCACACACAAATTCTACATATTATGGAGAAACCAACCAATTAAAAATAATTTATAATTATACAATTACAATTCTTAATTATATAGCACTATTACTCAAAACTGGGCCCAGAAGTGATCAAATGGTCTTTAAAAATATTTATAGGCCAAGTACAAATTTTGTGTTAGTGATCAGCCATTACCCTGTATTTAGTTTTTACCCTTTCTTCCTTTGTACTTGTATCATTCATGCTGATGCTAATTAAGAGATCATTTAAAAATATTTAAAATTTTATGTTCATAATTTTTCTTACTACCTTGAGATTTCAAGTTTAGAGGAGTGGTGGCTAAAAAAATGTCATCGTGACTAACATTAAAGCTCATAGCATCAGAAAGACAATGTATTCTATGTGCTTAGTGGAAGTCATAGCATCTTATTAAAATTGAGAAGGCACCTAGAGTTATTTCTCTAAAGCTTCTTTTTTTCCTTAAGTGTTTTAGAACATCATAGTCAAGTTGCCAAGCAGATGCTAGCTCTGCATCTTGACTGATATTGTCAATAAGATCATTCTCCTCCACTTAGCTGTTTGTTGCACCTCAGAAAAGTGGTATTCACTTCCATCAAACACTGTTTGAAAAACATTGGGTTTCTGTGAATCCTATGCTGGGATATTCTTCACAGGAAAGTGGAGACATACCACGGTTTAGGTCCCTTTGTGGTAGTTTTATTTTGCCTAAAATGTCTAGTTTTCACAATACAAGAAAAATGGAATACAAAGGCAATTTTCTGGATATGACTTCTGACTAGTTAGCTTAATGGTTGAGAGCAGAGGCTCTGAAGTCCAGCAGATCCTGAGTTTCTCAGCTCTCTGAGGTTTGGTTTCCTTAACTAAAATGTGGAGAAGATAATATCTATCTCTTAGGAAACTTAGATATAATTTCACACCAAACCATCTGGTACACATTTTCTCCACCTAAATATATTATAAGGAGTAAATGAAAATAATGAATGTTACATTGCCTGGAGCCTGGAGTGGATGTGCTAAATAAAGGTTGTCTTCTCCCCTTTTGTTTTTAAACTTTTATTAGCATATGATTCAGATGTCCTAGCCTGCATTTGTTACTATAGAATATTGAGCAAAACTGTGAAATAAGAATAGTAACTAACTTTGAAACTAATCTATTAAATATTTTTCTAAATTATCAAAATAATATAGATAGGAGAAAATAATTGTTAAACTGTTGATTCATTTTAAAATAATTGAGAATAAACTAGAAATGTATATTAATATTTACTGCTTTCATAGTTCCTACACTGCTTAGATTTAAAGAGATGGCTCATACAACTTCCTGGGATATTTCTGGGATTCATAGAATTAAAAGAAGTGTATCTGGAATAACTTGCTAAATTTCAAAATGACTAAACTTGTAGAATCTTTACCAACTTTCTTATAATTTCCACAGTATGGCAGGGGTTACTGGTGGCATTATGTAGTCCTTATTATCATGAGGACCTCCCCTGGAGCCTGTGTTGCCTCGATACCTAGATCTAGCTGTTTGGTAGATAACGAGCGTCTCCTTTAGCCATAAAGATTCCCGAGTCTTTGTTCATAGAGTGGTGAGTCTTGCTGCCTCTTTAATGTGAGCAAACTCATTTGAATTCTTTACTTGTTCTGTTCTTCCAGTTTCCTGCAGCATCTCAGTCCTTGAAGATTAAACTGCTGATTTCTTGTTAAGATAGAAATAGAACATTACTTTTGGTTCCCTGAACTTTAAAGTATATGTGGTTATTAAAACATTCCACACTGTGGCTGGGCACGGTGGCTCACGCCTGTAATCTCAGCACTTTGGGAGGCCGAGGCGGGCGGATCAGGAGGTCAGGAGATTGAGATCATCCTGGCTAACACGGTGAAACCCCGTCTCTACTAAAAATACAAAAAATTAGCCGGGCGTGGTGGTGGGCGCCTGTGGTCCCAGCTACTCGGGAGGCTGAGGCAGGAGAATGGCGTGAACCCGGGAGGTGGAGGTTGCGGTAAGCCAAGATCGCACCACTGCACTCCAGCCTGGGCGACAGAGCCAGACTCCACCTCAAAAAAAAAAAAAAAATTCACATTGTTTGACAGAAAATGTACCTCATTTCCAGATGGTCTGACACAAGTTGGAGATCACAGCTTTGTTCCAAGGGGAATACTGTCCTAAATATTTACATTTGGAAGACCTTATTTTTAAGAGCATATTTCAAGATTAAAGCTTTGTAAAACTGACTTGTTGCTTAAATATGAGTAAAGATTGGTTTTAAAGGCTAACACAGATTAGAGACATAACCAAGTGTAACGTATGGACCTCAATTGGATTGTGGTTTAGAGGAAAAACTTATGAAGGATATTCTTGGGATGTCTGAAAAATTTTGTATGCAGATTATCATATGATATTGTTAATTTGTTGACATGTGTTTACAATATTGTGATTCTATAGAATTACAATGTACATTAAAAGTGTCAAGATGTCTGAAGTTTTATCTCATTTAGCAAAGCAAACAAATGTATATGTGGAGATGAATTAAATATGGCAAAATGGAAACAACTAGTATAGCCAGGTGGAAAAACAGGTGTTTATGATACTATTTTTAAACATTTCTATATATATGAAAACTATTATGGTAAATAGTTGGAGAGAGATTTTAAAAAGAAATATAGAAGCTCAATTAATTTTCTCAATAGCATATAATTATGTTCCTGTGCCTCCCTGCTGCTTAAATATATATATAGGAAATGTATATAGTGAAAATAGTCTAGTACTGATAGAGGCTGACTTTTTTACACTAGATTTTATGATATTCAAAAGATCTAGATGTGGCCACTAAGAGTATGTAGAGATGAATCCTTCTAATTCCTCTCTTCTTACTACACACTGTCTGCCAAATCATACACATAATATTTGCTGGTATATGACGTACCTGCTGTTTGAGGCTGGGAACTTTAATAGGAATTTGGGAATATGAGACATACGATTGTTAAAAATAGACCTCAAGAAGATAATGAGGAAAAGTACTCAGGAATCTAACAGTCAGTGGCAATATTTGAGCATCCTTACTCTAGAACTACACACAGAAAGTAAAGAAATGTGTAAGAGGTAGATAGCTCAGCTGGGAAGTCCATAGAAGAGCTTCTCTGTGCTGGGGATAATTGTGCCAGATCTTAAAGTATTAGTAAGAGCCACATGAGTAAAATATTCTTTTGTGCTTTTTACTGTAGCACTCTCCGCAATTTCTTATGCTTTCTTATTATACATATTATCTAAGTATACTTATTGTGCTTGTTTAATCTTCTGTCTTTTCCACTCCAAGGGGGCAAAAATTGCTGGCCATGGCAACATTTAATAGGTGTTAGTAATGTCAAAGGAGCAGTGTGTGAAGGGGGAATGAGAAGAGCTGAGTTTGATTTTTACTTGAATGCCTTTTGGATTAGTATTCAAGTATATCATTATTTTCTGGTTTTGCTTGAAAGAAAATGACCACAAGATTGAATGCTCTGATATGTGCACTTTAGTGTTTGGGAGTATATATCAATAAAGATAAAAAGATCTTGTAAGTTGGAGGGGTGAAAAAAATTTTAGATATTACAATGATTTATGATCTTCCATGGTTTACCCCTATCAAAATGTTAATCTTTAGTATTTAGTTTGTTTGGGAGAAAATTTAATTTTAAGTTTAATTAAATTTGTTTTACATTTTCTCTTTAGGATCAACAATGGGTGGGGAAGGATTGAGAAGCACTGGTATAGACTATAAACCTAGACCATCAATCTTGACTATAAACTCAATGAGACTCGGGACTGTATCTGCCTAATACACTGTGATATCCCCAACAGCTCACAGAGTGCCTGGTATTTAGTGTAAACACAGTAAATGTTTGTTCCCTTGTTCATTTGTTTCTTCTCCAAAGTGAGGATGGGTGTCTACATGGAGGGACCAGCCTGCTCACAGGTATGAGAGTTCTCCCCTGTGGTTGGGGAGCAGGCTGAGAGGTCAGGCCGGAGAAGTATAAAGAGCCTGTGCCTTGAAGGCCTCATCTAGGGTGTGCTCAGGAGCTTGACCTTTCAGTAGAAGGAGCAGGGGAGGAATTGGAATTGGAGGGATTTCAGCAAGTGGGTGACTAGATGTGTGCTGTGCTCTAGGAAGAGTGGAATCGGCTGTATGGGAGATAGATGGGAGAAACAAGACACAAGGGTACATGGAGACCAATTAAGAGAATTTTGTGAAAATGTAGGTGATAAATAGTGAGGTAAGAACTAGGTGGTAGTGGAAGATTCATTAAATGTTTATGAGGCAGAATTAACAGGACTTGGAAAGTATGGTGCAAAGAGAAGGTGAATCTTGAGAGACTCCCAGACTTTTGGATTAGGTGATGTGCTGGACAGGGCTACAGTTTGTGGATCTAAGTAATGCAGAAGGAGTAGTGTGAAGGGGAGAAAGAAATGAATTGAGTACTTGTCCTTGAATTAGTTATGGCTTAGTACTCGTATATATGCTTTTTTTCCCCAGCTTAAATGACCTGACGTAGGTACTTTAGTTTTTTGGGGAATGTGTATTGATCAAGGAAAAAGTGTCTCATAGACTTGCGGTCTTGTGGCTGGCTTATTTCACATGTGTTATTTCACACATCTCAACGTTGAGATCCGTATGTGACTCTCTGCTGCCTCCTGGTGGCAGAAGATGAACTTAGCAAGGCAAAAAAAATTGAAGCTATTCTCTTGGTCTTTTTCTTTTCCAAACATTTGGTGGCATACTCATGAAAGTTAAAACTTTCCAGAGATTAATGTGGTCATGTTAATGTCATGAGTGGATATTTCAAGACATCTGAAGTTTTAATTTTATTAATTTGTTCCATTTTGATATGGTAGCAAAAGATTCCGTAAATGTTGGTTTTGATTCTTCTAGGTTTCTTTTTTTTTTTTTTTAAGAAGCATGTAACAATTTCTAGGGTTGTTTTGGTAAATTAAATGACTGTAATATTATTTTCTAACTTTTTAAATATAATTTTAGCCATTTATTGAATAGGAACAGATAGCTAACTGCTTAGCTAGTCCCTGTGTCTTTTTATAGAAGTCTTGTTCTTCTTTAACACATTGTATTAGTCAGGGTTCTCTAGAGGGACAGAACTAATAGAATAAATGTATATATGAAGGGGCATTTATTAAGGAGCATTGACTCACACAATCACAAGGTGAGGTCCCATGATAGGCTGTCTGCAATCTGAGGAGCAAGGAAGACAGTCGGTGTCCCAAATCCTCAAAAGTAGGGAAGCTGACAGTGCAGCTTTCAGTCTGTGGCCAAAGGCCTGTGAGCTCCAGGCAACCACTGATGTAAGCCTGAGAGTCCACAAGCTGAAGAACTTGGAGTGTGATGCTCAAGGACAGGAAGCCTCCAGCACTGGAGAAAAGTGCTGTCTGCTCCTTCCACGTTCTTCTGCGCTTTTATCCTAGCTGTGCTAGCAGCTGATTAGATGGTGCCTACCCAGATGGAGGGTGGGTCTGCCCCAGCCAGTCCATTGACTCAAATGTTAATCTGCTTTGGCAACACCCCTTACAGACACATCCAGGAACAATGCTTTACATCCTTCAATCCAATCAAGTTGGCACTCAATATTAACCATCACACATGTTTATTTGGTGGAACCCTTCTGGTTGGGGAGTGTGTTTTCCTGTACAATAGGTTAGAAAGCTTGATCATCAGCATATAATACTTTTTATTTATTGTTGACCACAATATGACTTTTGTTATTTGCTTTTGAAAGCTAGTATTTTGGCTGCATAACATCTGTCATTTTTAACTTAGTAAATTCTTTTCCAGATAAACTCCGAAGAAGTATGCCTAACCTAGCCCGGATGCCAAGTACAACTGCCATTAGTAGCAATGTTAGTTCTCCAGTCACCGTGCGAAATAGTCAGAGTTTTGACTCAAGCTTGCATGGAGCTGGAAATGGAATTTCAAGAATACAGTCTTGTAGTGAGTATAATTATTTGATATAATTATATGTTGTATAATTGTATAATTATTTTTTATAATTTTTAATTGTAAGGAAAATAACTTACTGTTCCATTTCTTTATATTTACTTGCAAGAACACTAAACTTTTCTCCTTGCCCTGTAACTTACTTTTTTATTTCACCATTAGAGTTGAATAGTATTTTTACCAGTGCCTGTGGTATCAATTAATAGTAGTAAATTGTTAATTGTATAATAATAGTAAATTATTTGTAGTCCTTTATATCCTAAGATAGTAGAAGTACTACATGGTGATTGATTTATCCACTCATCATACAAAAATTTTTTTCTTTGCAGATCCTCCCCTTTCTAGCTGTCTACCTGAATAAGCACACTTAATTCTGTCTAGCCATTCCTTTAGTCTTGGTTTTCACCTGTGCATACTTTTGTCCTTTTTCCCCCTAAATGAAGTTATATTTTAGTGTGTCTAAAGTAGTTTTTATCCACTCTATTTTAGCTTACCCCACATTCTGTTACTTACTTTCTATGTTTCACCCAGCAGTGAGCGACACAGTGAGCATTAGGCCTAGTGCTGTGTGTCTTCACTTTATGTGGGGATGTGCTGTTTTGGCATCCCCCCCGATTCCTACTCATGCTGTCTATATGGGTTATTGCAGTTAAGTCTTACACTGACCTCTAGGAGGAAGGCACAAGGTCATATTACCAGCATTCATAAAAATGCCCAAACTTGGGAGGCTGAGTGTGTTCTGAGTGTACTGGCCAAGAGTCATCAAACAGATGTCTTAAGTCTGCATCTAAAATGGTTTGTAGCTCTTCTCCCTCAAACTTAGTTTTGGGTGTCAAATTGTATCTCCCTAACATGCAGTGGTCTTTCATTTCTTTGTTTTAGTTCCTAACAACCAAGTGACATCATTTACTCTGTACAAGGAACAGTGCTAACTAGTTTATATTCATTATCTTATTTAGTTCTACCAACAACTCTATGAATTAGTTTCTACTGCCATTCTTATTTTGTGGAAGAGGGAACAGTTCTGACAGGTTAAGGAACAGTTTGTCCAAGGCCATGCAGGTGGAAGAGCAGAGAGGCAGACCTAGGTCTGGTTACTCCCAGAGCTTATGCGTTTAACTGTTAGGATATTCTAGCTCCACGTGTTGTTCTTCTCTGCTTAGCATTCTTCCTTTTCCTTCTTCGTTCAGTTTACTCCTATTTACTTTTATAATACAGTCCAAATACCATGCCCTTGGAAGTTTTCATTGCTTACTTGATCACCCTAACACACTTTCTCAAATACCCCCCAAACAATGCTAGAGTGGATTAGATTTTTGGTGCTTACCTCTGTTATTCAATGTACCGTGTTTTACCATTAATGTATTTGTCTTCCTTACTAGATTGTAAGCTCCCTCTGGGCTTGGACCATCATTTATTTGATTTTCTGTTCCCACTGCCTGACATGTTACCTGAACATAAGGAACTCAGTGAATGCTTGAATGAATGCCACAGGATTCTATGTTAAGGCTTGACCTGTTAAATATTTGAACCAATGACTTGTATGAGGACACGGAACCAACGTATGAAATTTGCTAATGGTGGAAACTGAGATAGCTAATAACTGATTTTATGTCAGGAGGTTACAACAATGGGCTAAATGTATCATGAAGAAACTTAGCTGATAGAAATATACAATTCTATATCTGAATTACAAAAATCAGTAGTGTACCAGCCTAGACCACATGATGAAACCCCGTCTCTACAAAAAATACAAAAATTAGCCAGGTGTGATGACCAATGTCTGTAGTGCTAGCTACTTGGAAGGCCAAGCTAGGAGGATCACTTGAACTCAGGAGGTTGAGGCTACAGTGAGCTGAGATTGCACCACTGCACTCCAGCCTGGGCAATAGATAGAATGAGACCCTGTCTTGGAAAAAGAATAAAAGAAAATCAATAGTGTAAGTGCAGGATGAGAGAAATACAGTTTTGAGAATAGCAAATATGGTAGCAATTAGGAATTTTTGTTGACTCCAACTCAGTGTGTATTAATAGCAGATTTGAGTGCCAGAAAAGTGTATGTAACCCAAAATAGAATGTACACTGCAAAGAATGTTCAGTTTTGATTGAAGTGCCCCCAAAATGATGGGAAATGTCAAAAGGATACAGGAACCAAGTTGAAGGAATCTCCTAATGGCCAGATATGGGACAGTTTGAGCCACAGAGTAAATAATTATGGTAATGGATTATAACTGATGGAATAAAAGAAATATGCATGGATTCATACTTAATTGGATAAATAGAAAGGGGAACATCTTCTTTGTAGTAGATTCTAATTCATACATGTAAAAGAAATGAGGAAATTATAAAAATCATCATTTCTAAGTCAAGCATAATACTGAGAGAAAGCCCCCAAGAAGAAGAATAATGTGTAGGAGAAAGAGGACTCCCATAACTTTTGTTTCAAATCTTAAGATTATGCTCTCATTTACTTTCATTTCTGAGCATTCTAAGCCACTGTTATTTATGCATTCTAAATTCTTATCATGACAATTACTAGTTCTGGGCCATTTTGCTTTCAGGAAAGAACAGAGGTAGGATAGAGAGTTGGAAAGGCTGCAAGTATAGAAGGAGGAACACAGTTGTAGTCAAAGACCCGGTTTTGGGTCTTTTCTTAATAATAAACTTTTTGGAAAGTTAAGCATTCTTTATCAGTCTCGTTTTCTCATTTGTAAAATTAGGATTATGCCTATTAATTTTAACTAGTTTCTCTTATGTGTGTTTTTTTTAAATCAAGGGTGGTGATATATGTTATACGTAGGAGAGATGGTAGGATTGTATTCCTGAAGAAACTGTTCTGGAATTTCATTGACTCTGTAGATCAATTTTTGGAAGATCTTAACAATATTAAGTCTTTGCATCCATTAATGTGGAATAGTCCTTCATTGACTTAGGTCTTTAATATCAGTGAAGTTTTGTAGCTTTCTATATAGAGGTTTTGTGTTTCTATAGTTAAAGTAATTTCTAGGTATTGTGATTTTTATTAAGTAGTGTTTTTGTAAATATTTCCTCAGGTTTCTTTCAGTTTCTACTAGTTTGCTGGTATTTTGAATAGAATTGATTTTTGTGTTTTGATATTGAATCCAGCAACTTTGCTAAATTAATATCTCCTAATAGTTACCCAACATAGTGAGTGCATATGATCACCAAAACATGTTCAAGAAGGTTCACAAAACCCCAAATTAGAAATAACCTAGCTTTCTGTCATCAGGGGAATAATCACATTCATACAATGGAATACTGCTTAGTAACACAGCAACACAGGTGAATCTCACAGACAAAGTGTCTAGTGAAAGAAGCCAGATTAAAAGGTTAACATACTAGTAAGTCTGTTCCTAGGAATTTCCTCAAAATAGGAAAAAACAGTCGTTGTGATAAAAGTGGGAATAACACTTACCTTTGGAGGAGTTTTGACTAGGAAGAGGCATGAGAGAGCCTTATAAGGTGCTGGTGATGCTTTTTATCTTGATAGGAGGAGTGGTTACATGAACATGTTCACTTTGAACATTCACTGACTTAAGATATATGTATTTTATGTATATTATGCTTCAGAAGAAATTGAGCCAAATTCATGTATTGAAGGTTTTTTAAAAATTAACTTTTTTAAAGCAGTTTTCAGCTTATAGAAAAATTGAACAGGAAGTACAGAGAATTCCCATATAATCCCTCACCCTCTGTATCCTCTTAGTTTCCCCTATTATTAACATCTTGTGTTAGTGCAGTAGACTTGTTACAGTTGCTGAACGAGTATATTAAAAAATTGCATGGTTAAAAACTAGCAAATTAAGGCATTACAGAATTGGTTAGAAAGAATCTTAGAGATGATTTGTCAACCAAGAGAACTTTGCTGTGTCACGAAGCTAAATGGGAATACACCTAAGGGAGAATCTTATATAGACCTTATTTTTTATAAAGTTTTTTGACTACTATACACATATATCGGCATTTCTTTTTTTTTTTTCTTTCTTATTTCAATAGTTTTTGGGGTATAGCTGGTTTTTGGTTACATGGATGAGTTCTATAGTGGTGATTTCTGAGATTTTGATGCACCTGTTACTGAAGCAGTGTACACTGTACCCAGTATGTAGTTTTTATCCCTCAGCACCCTCCCAAACTTCCCCACAAGTCCCCAGAGTCCATTATCTCCTTCTTATGCCTTTGCATCCTCATAGCTAAGCTCCCACTGACACGTGAGAACATACGATATTTACTTTTCCATTCCTGAGTTATTTGACTTAGAATAATGGCCTCTAGCTCCATCCAAGTTGCTGCAAAATATTACTTTGTTTCTTTTTGTGGGTGAGTAGTATTCCTTGATGTATATATACCACATTTTCTTTATCCACCCGTTGGTTGATGGGCACTTAGGTTGGTTCCATATCTAAGCCATTGCAAATGGTGCTGCTATAAACATGCGTGTGAATGTGTCTTTTTTTTCATATAATGACATCTTTTCCTTTGGGTAGATACCCAGGAGTGGGATTGCTGGATCAAATGGTAATTCTACTTTTAGTTCTTTAAGGAATCTTCATACTGTTTTCCATAGTGGTTCTACTAATTTACACTCCCATCGGCAGTGTAAAAGTGTTCCCTTTTGCCATGTCCACACCAACATCTGTTGTTTTTGACTTTTTAATTATGGCCATTCTTGCAGGGTAAGGTGGTATCTCATTGTGGTTTTAATTTGCATTTCCCTAATGATTAGTGATGTTGAGCATTGTTTCATTTGTCTGTTGGCTGTGTATCTTTTTTTGAGAAATATCAATTCATGCCCTTTGCCCACTTTTTGATGGGGTTACCTTTTTTTTTTTTTTTTTTTTTTTGCTGATTTATTTGAGTTCCTTGTAGATTCTGGCTATTAGTCCTTTGTCAGATGCATAGTTTGCAGATATTTTTTTCTACTCTGTGAGTTGTCTGTGTACTCACTGATTATTTATTTTGGTGTGCAGAAGCTTTTTAGTTTAATTAGGTACCATTTATTTATTTTTGTTTGAGTTGCCTTTGCTTTTGGGATTTTAGTCATGATTTCTTTGTCTAAGCCAATGTCCAAAAGAATTTTTCCAATATTATCTTCTAGAATTTTTATGGTTTCAGGTCTTAGATTTAAGTCTTTGATCCATTTTGAGTGGATTTTTGTGTAAGGTGAGAGATGAGGATTCAGTTTCAATCTTCTACATGTGACTTGCCAGTTTTCCCAGCACCGTTTACTGAATAGGGTGTCCTTTCCCCAATTTATGTTTTTGTATGCTTTGTCGAAGATCAGTTGGCTGTAAATATTGGGGTATATTTCTGGATTCTTTATTGTTTGGTCTATGTGCCTATTTTTATAGCAGTACCATGCTGTTTTGGTAACTGTAGCCTTGTAGTATAATTTGAAGTTGGTTAATGTGGTGCCTCCAGATCTTTTTGCTTAGTCTTGCTTTGGCTATGTGGGCTGTTTTTTGGTTCCATATGAATTTTAGGATTGTTTTTTCTGGTTCCACGAAGAATGATGGTGGTATTTTGATAGAATTGCATTGAATCTGTAGATTGCTTTGGGCAGTATGGTCATTTTACAATATTGATTCTTCCAATTCGTGAGCATGGGATGTGTTTTTGTTTGTGTCATTTGTGATTTCTTTCAACAGTGTTTTGTAGTTTTCCCTGTAGAGATTTTTCACCTCCTTGGTTAAGTATATTTCTAAGTATTTTATTTTGTATTTTACAGATGTTATAAAAGGGATTGAGTTCCTGATTTAATTTTCAGCTTGGTGGTTGTTGGTATATAGCCGTGCTACTGATGTGTGTACATTGATTTTGTATCCTGAGACTTTACCGAATCCATTCATCAGATCTAGGAGCTTTCTGGATGAGTCTTCAGGGTTTTCTAGATATACAATCATATAATTGGCAAACAGTGACAGTTTGACTTCCTCTTTTCCAATTTCGATGCCCTTTATTTCCTTCTCTCCTGTAAGTGCTCTGGCTAGGACTTCCTGTGTTATGTTGACTAGAAATGGTGAAAGTGGACGTCCTTGTGAAGGATGTTTTGTTCCAGTTCTCAGGGGGAATGCTTTCAACTTTTCCCCATTCAATATGATGTTGACTATGGGTTTGTCATATATCGCTTTTATTACTTTGAAGTAAGTCCCTTCTATGCCTATTTTGTTTTTATCATAAAGGGATGCTGGATTTTATCAGATGCTTTTTTTGTATCTATTGAGATGATCATATAGTTTTTGTTTTTAATTCTGTTTATGTGATGTATCACATTTACTGATTTGCCTATGTTAAACCATTTCTGTATCCCTGGGATGAAACCTGCTTGATCATGATGTGTTATCTTTTTGATAACACACGTATCAGTATTTCTGTGTATAGATTTTGCCTTGTATACTTGCGCAAATTTTTTTAAGGAAAAGCTAAATTTAAGGAAATATTTTCAAGAGATGATAAATAAAACCATAGATACTTTTTTTGGGTTTTTTCCCCCTTATATTTATTTCAAAAAAGTATTTATCATATATTTTATGATTAAGTAAATTCAACTGTTTTAGAAAACAGGGTATGTCCATGTTTAGCCATGTTGCAAGTACTAGGCAGCAAAGGCTTGGGTAGTTAGTCAGTAGGCAGAATCTGTGCATAAGTTTCTGTTAAATTTGATTGTTTTTCTTGGAGAAAGGGATTAAAAAATTTAAAAACTTCTGCCTACCAGTTTGTTACCTTTTAATGTGAAATGATACACAAAGTTGGGTCAGTATATAGATGAAATTTTTAAGGGTTCTTACCCAGAGAGTTCCCGGTTCCCTTCATTTTATAAGTTTGGCTACTATTATATATGTAATAATGCCCAGCAACTCAAAGAGAGATAAATGACGTATGAATATTATTTAAGGAATATATCTGTAATAAACTGTTTGTACCTACAGATACCACCTCTGTCTTCTTTTCTATAATAACAACTATTAAAGTATCTCCTCATTTTGTTTTCATGGAATCACCACCAAAGCAAGCATCAAGAAATCCTAATTTCTAGCAAGCAAGCAGGGAAGACTTTGTCTTGTAAGAACTCAGAGATCATCACATTTGTAAAGGAAAGGAGGCTGTGCTTGGAACTGGCTTCTGCATATAGCCAGGCACTTCAAAATGTGGCTCATGGACAGACCAGGAGATCCATATCAAGGATTAGAATTTTCCATGACTCAGTGCCATCTGGAGCCTATATTCCATTTATCTCCTTCTGTGTATATTGTACTCTCAGGCATAATTGGCTCTTCTGAAAATAGCACACATTTCCTAAGTTGGATAGTGGTAGAAGCTCGCTCACATGAATATCATTTTCTTTTCTAGTTCCATCACCAGGACAGCTTCAACACAGAGTGCACAGCGTGGGGCATTTCCCAGTGTCTATCCGACAACCTCTTAAAGCCACAGCCTATGTGAGTCCAACCGTTCAAGGCAGCAGTAACATGCCTTTATCAAACGGCTTACAGCTGTATTCCAACACAGGAATCCCCACACCGAACAAAGCTGCAGCTTCTGGGATAATGGGTCGCAGTGCACTCCCAAGACCTTCGTTGGCAATAAATGGGAGTAACCTGCCTCGAAGCAAAATTGCACAACCTGTTAGAAGGTAAGAATCTTTATTTGCATAATTTCATTTGCAGTTTGGAACTAGAAACTGCTCCAGACACACGCTGACCTTTCCTTTGGCTCACTTTAACCTTAGTAAGTCACTACCCTTTGTGGCCTGACTTGTGCTCTCCTCCCTTTGAAAAGTGATGGATATCCCTGTGTGGGTCAGGTCCCCTTCTCTCTGATATCATTTTCTTCCCCTACTCCCTCATCACTATCACTCCTAACACTTTTGCTTTTACCAGATAAGCTCTGTCTCCAGAGCTTTTGTAGCTTTCTTCTCCCAAGTTACTTGCACGGCTTGCTCCGTGCCTCCTTCAGGTCTTTGCTCAGACGGCAGCTGTATCCAAAAATTGTAGGGCAGGGGGAGTTGACTCTTTGGTTCATTGCTGTGTGTCCCCAGTGCCAAGAACTATGCCCAGTATGGGTAGGATCTCAAATATTTGTTGAATCAGTCATTTTTAATCAAAATATGGAAAAATGTGTCAGGCATATGTGCACATGCACACCCTCCTCCCACACATTTATGGTTTGAAAAGCATCTTAATGACATTCACCTGGGGCTTTATCAGCTTATGTTGGTAAGTTCAGTATGGTTCAGGTAGAAATTTTTTTTTCCCCTTCAAAGTTTCAGAGTTTTTTTTTCTACTTCAAAGGACATTTTAGTCCAGCTCTTGGTCATGATGTACCCTTCTTGAACTGAATATTATGGAGTGTCTTATATTAAAAATCCATAAAAGTGGTTTGAGGAAAGATTGAGGAAATAAAGACAGTAAATACAGACAGCTCTTTCAAGAAATTAGGATATGAAGGAGGAGAAGGAAGAAACATAGTAAAAATTTGAAAGAGGTGGAACAAGCAATTTTTTCTGTCTTTATGCATTTATGGATATATAAATAGTTCTGTTTTTTGTTTAGAAGTAATGGATGCTCAGATCAACAACAAATTTCGAAAAACAGAAACTGCTGAAAAATAGAAAAGTAAAGACTGACCCATAATCCTACTACCAGATAGAAACAATTTTGGTACATGTTTATTTATTCAGTAATTTTTGGCTTATTCTGCTTTGTAAATGCCGAGCTGCGTCATCATGCTGATGGCTGACTAGAATCACATTATTTGATATATATGGTTATTATAGACCATACATTTATCCTTGAATTTGTGTCTCCAAACTAAACACTTGGAAAGGTCACTGCTAGACAATATAAGATGGTCTGTTTCCCCAAACTTAAGCAAATACTAGGTATTATTCCTTTTAATTTTTTTTAATTTAAATTTTTTCTTTTATGTATTTTTTTAGAGACAGGGTCTTGCTCTTTTGCCCAGGCTGGAGTGCAGTGGTGTGGTCATAGCTTGTTTTAACCTCAAACTCCTGGGCTCAAGTGATCCTCCTGCCTTGCTAGGACTGTAGTGCATGCCACCACTCCCAGATAATTTGAAAAAAAAAATTGTAGAGATAAAGGTCTTGCTGTGTTGCCCAAGCTGGTCTTGAATGCCTGGCCTCAAGTGTTCCTGTTGCCTTGGCCTCCCAAAGTGTTGGGATTATAGGTGTGAGCCACTGCACTCAGCCGAAGGTTCTTTTTAAATGTTTTGCCAACATGATAGGCAAATCTTTAATTACTAATACGGTTTTGAAAGTTTATTCGTATTCATTTGCTGTTTGTATTCAACAGAGTAACCATTTATGTTTTTAGGCCATTTTTCTAGCCAGGAGTCTGTATTTTCTTATTTTAAAATATGTTTTACACATTAAGGGTATTGGCCCCTTTATTTATGTTGGAAATTTACTTGTGCAAATACAACACGCATGACACTCTGCCATGAACTGGGGCTCTGGGAGATAAGCATGCAGTGAAGACCCGTAAGTGTGAACCACAAGGTACACTTGAGATACTGCCAATGGCTTCTCATTACTGCAGTGGAGGAGCATAGATGGGAGAGTAGGTCAAAGTAAGTAATGTGACTCACAGGATTATTAACAATTTCTCTGTGTTTTTCTTGTCTCTTTTTAGTTTTCTTCAGCCTCCAAAGCCTCTGTCTTCACTCAGCACTCTGAGGGATGGAAATTGGAGAGATGGTTGCTACTGATGCAGTTTTATGTACCCTTGAGAAATGGGAAAGAAGTAAAAATGAGGGTTGTGTTACCTAGCTGGCTGGGTAGCAGTGGATGTTGGGATATTCTTTCCCTTTTGTGTTTTAATATATTTACTGCATTGTTTCTCAATGGACCAGTCACCAGAGACTAATTATTGCACTTAAATATTTGCCTGAGATACTGCAACAGTCTCAAACCCATGGTTGCAGTATTGTGACACTTAGATCTAGGAAGTTTTTGTAGAACTGCTCTGTACCTGAATACTTTTTGAGAGAATTGAGATGTATCAATAATGCTTTGCCATATGAGTTTTTTAAAGTAACTTGTTCAATTTACTTACATGTTCTAAACATCTTTCCATTACATGTTCTGTATTTTAATACATTGCATATTGACAACTAGGTTCTATAATGTATGCTTTGAACTTTACTTTTTTATAGTTTACAGGAATTTTATTTTTTGTGCCTATTTCTTTTTACACCTATGTGAACCACTATGGAACAACTTAAATTTTGTGCCATAAAAATATTTTTGTGGTAAGGTACTATTTTTTTAGCTCTAGGGATATATCAGCAAAAACACATCATGCAATTTGAGAGACATAATTTTGTGTTGAATGAGCACAACATAATTTGAAGCATTGCAAGGAGATAGCCAGACAGCAGAATTAAATGGTCCTGTCTTTTTCATTGTTAATTTATTGTCATACATGGGTTTCATATTTATAACGGCATCATGAGCTCATTGCACTTAATACCTGCAATGTTTGCTACTGTACCACAATTGATTTTCAATACTTTATTACAAAGGATGAAACTGTAATGTTTTATTAACAATGCTTCTGGAAATGAATGCATTTTAAAGCAAATAAATCTTTTTGATAGACCTTTTACAAAATCCATTTGCACTAATGAATGCTTTCTTATGGCATATAACTTAATATTTGTTACTGTGTACACTGCTGTTTTGGAATGTTCAGAAATAAAGACTCTATTTCAGCAATACCAGGTCATGCATGAATGTGCAGCATAAACAGTATAACTACACATGTGTTTCACTACAATTGTGAAAATGGTTATTGTTACCCTGTTCTTGTTCAGGGCATTTATATCTCAAGCAGGTAGACTTAGAATATTCACATTCATAAAATTATTTTTCTTTTCCCAAATATTCCTGATAAGAAATGTGTGATTTTCTTACATCAGTTAGGTAGATTTACAGTGAGGTTTAGGTTCATTTAAAGAGGCCACTAAAACTCACGCAGCATGTCGCTGAGAAACACATTTACAGATGAACATTGTCAGTGGAGATTTTATTTTATTTTGTAGGAGTTGAATTTGAAATACTTTCTCAGTGTCAGTAAAATAGCAAAGTGCTAGCCTTATTCTACCTTATATTTGATAAATGTTGGAAAACTTTACTTGAAGGTACTGTGGGAAGTTTAGGCAAAGTTTTTATGTTAGGTTTTAAAATGGAGTTCTACCTATAGTCATTAGAGGTTTTTAGTTTTTTTAAAGTATACCTTTGTATGTAATTCTGTCTAGAACTAAAAGGAATGTTTGTTTAAATAACTTGCACTTTAAGTGGAAGGTGACCTAGAGGAGTTGAGATATGAAAAGGGAAGTAATATTTATTAAGCATCCCTTCAGTCAAAAGAACTGTGCAAGATGTTTTATATACATTTATCTAGGTCTAACTTTCACCTACTATTATCACCATTTTAAAGATGAAGACACAAGTCTCACAGAGGTGACTATCTGTCAGTTTTTTGCATCACTATAAAGGAATACCTGAGGTTGGGTAATTTATAAAGAAAAGAGGTTTAATTGGCTCATGGTTCTGCAGGCTGTACAGGAAGCATGGTGCCAGCATCTGCTTGGCTTCTGGTGAGGCCTCAGAAAGCTCATAGTCATGGCGGAAGGCAAAGGGGGAGCTGGTGCATCACATGGCGAGAGGGACAGCAAGGGGTGGGGTGGGGTTTCCTCACTTTTTAAAAAACAACCAGATTTGTGCGAACTCAGAGTGAGAGCTCACTTATCACCCAGGAGATGGCACTAAGCCATTTATGAGGGATCTGGCCCCGTGATCCAATCACCCTCCACCAGGCCCCACCTCCAGCATTGGGGGTCACATTTCAATATGAGATTTGGAAGGGACAGATATCCAAACCATATCGTTGTGCCCCGGCCCCCAAGTCTCATGCCCTCCTTGGATTGCAAAATGTAATCTTCTCTTCCCAACAGTTGCCCAAAATTTTAATTCATTCCAACAACAAGTCCAAAGTCCTGAGTCTCATCTGAGACTCATCTTCTTCCACCTATGAACCTGTATTATCAAAACAAGTTATTTACTTCCAAGATACAATAATGGTACAGGCATTGGGAAAACATTTCCATTCCAAAAGGGAGAAATTGGCCAAAAGAAAGGGGCAACAGGCCACACATAAGTCTGAAACCCAGCATGGTAGTCATTAAATCTTAAAGCTCCAAAATAATTTCCTTTGACCCCATGTCCTCCATTCAGGACACACTGGTGCAAGGGGTGGGCTCCCAAGGCTTTGGGCAGCTCTGCCTCTCTGGTTTTGCTGGGTGCAGCTCATGTGGCTGCCCTCACAGGCTGGAGTTGAGTGCATGCAGTTTTTGCAGGCTCAGGATGTAAACTGCCAGTGGCTTTACCATTCTGGGGTCTGAAGGGCAGCAACCCCCTTCCCACAGCTGCACTAGGCCATCCCCAGCGGCAGCTCTGCAGGGGGCCTCCAACTCCACATTTCCCCTTAGCACTACCCTGGTAGAGGCTGCTGTGAGGGCTGTGCCTCTGTGGCAGGCTTCTGCCTGGACACTCAGGCTTTCTGATACATCCGCTGAAACTACATGAAAGCTGCCAGGCCTCCTTCACGCTTGCATTCTGTGTATTTTCAGACTTAATACCATTTAGGAGCCACCAAGGCTTATGAGTTGCCCTCTAAAGAGGCAGCCCAAGATGTGTTTGTGGCCCTTTGAGCCAAGGCAGGGGCCAGATTAGCTGGGATACAGGGAACAAAACCCTGAGGCTGCACTATGCAGTGGGCCTGGCCTCTTAAACCATTCTTCCGCCATAGGGCTCCTGAGCCTGTGATGCAATGGACTGCCTCAGAGATTTCTGAAATACCTTTGAGGCCTTTTCCCCATTCTCTTGGATATTCACATTTGGCTCTTTTTCTGTCATGCTAATCTCTCACGTGGTTGCTCCACAGGCCACTTGGATTCCTTCTCCACTACAGGGCCAGGTTGTGACTTTTCCAGTTTTTTTTTTTTTTTTTCCTAGACAGATCTTGCTCTGTTGCCCAGGCTAGAGTGCAGTGCCATGATCTCAGCTCACTGTAACCTCCACCTCCTGGGTTCAAGTTATTCTCCTGCCTTAGCCTCCAGAGTAGAGTAGCTGGGACTACAGACATGCACCACCACACTGGCTAATTTTTGTATTTTTGGTAGAGACTGGGTTTTGCCATGTTGGCCAGGCTATTCTCGAACTCCTGACCTCAGGTTGATCTGCCTACCTCAGCCTCCCAAAGTGCTGGGATTACAAGGTGTGAGCCACTGCACCCGGCTGACTTTTCCAAATTTTATGATCTGCTTCCCTTTTATATATTCTGACTTTTAAGTCATCTCTTTGCTTCTGTATCTGATTATAGGCTGTTAGCAGCAGCCATAGCACTTCTTGAACGCTTTGCTGCTTAGAAACTTCCGCCCGATACCCTAAGTCGTCTTAAGTTCAACCTTCCACAGATTCCTAGGACATGGGCACAATGCAGCAAGCTCTTTGCTAAGGAGCAACAAGGGGAACCTTTACTCCAATTCCCAGTAAGTTCCTCATTTGCATTTGAGGCCTCTTCAGCCTGGCCTTCACTGTCCATATCTCTATCAGCATTTTGGTCACAACCATTCAAACAGTTTCTAAGAAGTTCCAAACTTTCCCTCATCTTCCTGTCTTTAGCCCTCCAAACTAACCTCTGTCTTTACCCTGTTCTAAAGCCACTTCGACATCTTCAGGTATCTTTATAGCAATGCCCTACTCCTCAGTACTAATTGTCTGTGTTTATTTTTTGCATTGCTGTAAAGAAATACCTGAGTCTGGGTGATTTATAAAGAAAAGAGGTTTAATTGACCCACAGTTTTGCAGAGTGTACAGGAAGCATGGTGCCAACATTTGCTTAGCTTCCTGTGAGGAGTCAGGAAGTTTACAGTAATGGCAGAAGGCAAATGGGGGAGTCAGTGTATCACATGGTGGGAGGGAACAAGAGAGAGGGAGGAGGTGCCAGGCTCTTTAGAGCTCTCGTGTGAACATACTAACCTGGGGAGGACACCAAGCCATTCAAGAGGGAATCTGCCCCATGAACCAGAAACCTCCCACAAACTCGCTTTCAACACTGGGGATTACATTTCAACATGAGATTTGGAGGGGACAAAATATACAGACCATATTAGTGACATTCGCCTTGGGTAAACATTTAGCTAGTGAATAGTGAAGCTAATCTTTGAATCCAGGTTTATCTGATTCAAAAGTCTTATTTTTCCCCACAACTGTGCTCTCTTCCAAGGAACACATGTAGCTGGTATATTTTTTTTAAAAATCACTTTTTATTCTGCAGAGAAAATTAAAGGATTCAATTCATTCTTCATTCAAATGTTTGATTTATATTCAAAAAAGTCTGCTTAGCCCTTGCAATAAAATAACCAAGATCCCTTCATCTTGGCTTTTACATTCTTGTTGGGGAGAGAACATAAACCATAAACAGGTAAGAAAATCACTGCAGGTTAGGTCATAAGTTCTGTGGGAGAAAAAAGGAGATCAAGGCAAGAGGAGTTAAGAGAAAATAGGGGTGGGGAGAGATCACACTATTAAAAGGGTCACCTTAGTAGATATTAATATAGGAGTTAAAAAGAAACTAGGCAGTTAGTGAGGGTACAGGAGTCTTTGGTAAGGTTTTTCTTTTAATGAGAGGCAGCCCCCAAATCATTTCTTTTCTAACAAAAAGCAGCCTGGAAAATCAAGCTGCAGGCATAGATAAGCAAGCCGGAAGCTTGCATACGTGAATGCTGGCAGCTGTGCCAGAAGCACTCAACATGAAGGTTTTCTCTTCCCTTTTCCTTGTCACCATGTGTGCAAGTGTCATGGCGTTGGCCAGGTAGAAACCCCATCTGGATAACAAAAGATTGGGGTGGGATGGCCAGTGTCTTCGAGGACCATGTAAATGTCACACCTTGTCCAATCATTCCCTTGGGTCTTGTGTAAATCAGACATCACTTCCTCAAGCCCCTCTATAAAACCAACCGCATCCCACTGCTAACAGGGAGATCCATTCGGAATCCCCCTCCCTCTACATAGGGGAGCTTTTCTTTTGTTTATTTCACCTATTAAACTTTCTGCTCTTAAACCCACACCTTGTGGTCTTCATTTTTCTTAGTGTGAGACAACGAACCTCGGGTGTTGCCCCAGACAAATGATGCCGCTTCAATATCATTAAGGAGCTAGTATGAGCAGAGGCTTGACGATGGAGAGTTAATCCTGAAGATGTTTCACAACCTTTTTCACCTGGAGTTCTATAGAACATGAAGCAGTTGAAGTGACTATTTTCACAGTTCTTCCCAGGAGGGTTTATAACTATTATTATCCCTCTAAATGCACAGGAAAGAATTTAATACATTATAGAGAGTGGATGTCCCAGGGCAGTGGTTCCAAAGTGTAGTTCTCACACCAGCAGCATCTTTTGAGAACTTGTTAGAAACTCATATTCTCAAGCATCATCCCAGATCTATTGAATGAGCCCTCTGGATGATTTGCAGAATTCCCTTTGAGAAAAGCTGCTAAAAAAGAGGGAATAGCCTGTGTGAAGGCTGTAAGGTGGAGCACGCCTGTGTGTTTGAGGAATAGCAAGGAGGCCAATGTGTCTACAAACAGGGAACAAAGAGTAAAGCTATAGAGATGAGTTCAGAAAGGTGATGGGGCAAGGCCAGGTAGGACATGG